AAAACAAAACATAAAACAAACTAAGTATCAACCAATACTTGAAAACAAAACATAAAACAAACCAAGTGTCAACCAATACTTAAAATAAAACATAAAATAAACTAAGTATCAACCGATACTTAAAACAAAACATAAAACAAACTAAGTATCAACCGATACTTAATACAAAACATAAAACAAACTAAGTATCAACCGATACTTAATACAAAACATAAAACAAACTAAGTATCAACCGATACTTAAAACAAAACATAAAACAAACTAAGTATCAACCGATACTTAAAACAAATCATAAAACAAACTAAGTATCAACCGATACTTAAAACAAAACATAAAACAAACTAACTTTAACCGAGTACCAGCTCCGGTTACAGGCAGTACAGAACCGGTCTAGCCACTGGCGTAGAACACTGTTGATAAAGGCCTGAAAGGTGGCGGGAGCATTGGTGAGGCGAAGGGCATGACATTAGAATTGAAGAGCCCATCGCAGGTGCTGAAGGCTGTCTTCCAGTGGTTCTTCTTGTCCATTAGGACCCGGTTGTAGGCCCCACGGATGTCGATCTTGGAGCAGATTTTGGCCTCAGCAATGTTCATGAAGGTCTCAGTTAACAGGGGAAGGGGTCCATGATCTTTGACAGTCTCTTCGTTCAATCCCTGGTAGTTTACACAGAGCCTCAAGGTGCTGTCCTTCTTTTGATGAACAGTACTGGGGACACGGCTGGGGAGGTAGAAGCACTGATGAATCCTTTGTCTAGGTTTTCGTCGATCCAGCCTTTTAGGGCGGCGAGCTCAGGTGGGGATAGGTTGTAGAGCGGGCTAAAGGGAGGGGTGAAACTGGGTTTCAGGGGTATCTCATGGTCTACTCCTGATCAGCTAGGAGGCAGTTAGGTCTGTTCCTTTTCGAGGAATACCGGTAGGAAATCATGGTACTCAGGAGGAACAATTTTGTTGACTTCCGGTTGTTTCAATAGTGTGTAGTCGAGAGCACGTTAGAGGGCGTAGGCTTTGAGGAAGTGGGGGATTTCATTTTTGATTCCTTGGATACCGGTTACGTTGGCGGTGCAGTGTTTAAGTCAATAGTCAGACTCAAAGGTGACGGTGTTGGAGGCAAAGTGAATAGTGACATCATGTTGTTTTAACCAAGGGATACCAAAGGTAAGGGGGTAACCACCCAATTTGGTGATAAAGGCCGGGACAGATTCAAGGTGGTCATTTATTTTTAGGTCAAAATGGGTAATATGGGTAATTGCCCCAGAGCTGATGGGTCTTCCATCAATAGCTGAGAGGTGTACAGGTTCTTTCAGTTGGGATAAGGGGAGGTGGTGACGGCTAGCGAAGTCTATATCCATGAAAGCATATCCAGTTGCTCCAGAGTCAATGAGGGCGTGGGATCAGATTACCTGTTGGTTGTCTATAATGTCACAGGCGACTACCAAATGGTTATCCTCAATTCCATTTTCCATTTCGTCCAAAGATAAATTAGAAATAACTAAACCAGGAGAAGACTTAACATGTCCCATGTCAGTACCAGAGTCTGCACATGGGACCACTAGTTTTCCAACTCTTCTTGGGCAGGGAGGGGCTCCTCAAGAGTGGGAACGGTGTGGGTGGCAGCCCTGGGCATGGGGCGGGGTCCCTTATTGGGACCGGCCCGGGCCATATGTCCATGCCCTCCACAGTAGAGGCAGAGGCCACAGTTGATGCTTTCTTGCCTTTCGGCGGTGGAGAGCTTTCTGCGACCTGCAGAGAGGTCCATGGGACCAGAGGCGGTGCCGGTGGCTGTGGAGGCTGGGGGCGGAGTAGGAGCCGGAGGATGCCAGTGGGGTGCGGCTGGGGTGCAGGTTCTCCAAGATGTGGAGGAGGAACCTTTCTTTTTGGCAGCCTGGGCATGGACATTGTTGTCTAGCTGCTTAAGAAGGGAGAGGTAGTCGTTCCAAGCTTCGGGAATCAGGAAAACATGTACCAGGGCATCCTTCAGCTCAGTGCTGAGGCCCTGATATAGGGAGGTGCGTTTGGCGGCGTCGTTCCAAAGGGTGTCCACCGCCAGGCATTGGAAGTCGGCAAGGTACTCTACGAAGGGCCAGTTCTTTTGCTGAAGGCTCCTCAGAGCCCTTTCGGCGGTTTGGGCCCTGTTGGGGTCGCCAAAGGCTTGTTCCAGTTCGGCGTAGAACTCCTTCATGTTTGCAAAGTCGATGCCGTTATTCATGACTCGATATTGGACCTCGACGAAGGTGCGTCCGTGGAGGAGACCGAAGGCATAACCGAGATGGTGTTGGTCACTGGTGAACCGGTGGGCATCACCCTGGAGCTTCATTCATAGTTGGGTGAGGAAGGGGCGGAGCTTGTCGGTAGCGCCATCGAATTGTTCAGGATCGGGTATCGAGACTTGTTTGTTGCCACCAGCAGGAGCTGCAGCACCAAGGGCGGGCATGAGGGCGAGAGCAGCATTCAGGGACGTGATGGTAGCGTTGGCCTGTGCGAGGCTGGCTTCGACGATGAGGAGTTGGGCCTCGACACCTTGGCCTTCGGTACGGGCATCGTTCCGTTCTTGGACCAGGAGGTTATACTGTTACTGCAGGTGTTGGTACTGGGGGGTCTGTTCAGGAGGGATGGGGGTAGCTTGTCGAGGAGGAGGAGCCGGGGTGTTCATGATTTGACGAGCCAGGTCTCTAGCGAGGGTAAACTAGTTTTAGATCTAGGCATAGGCCAGGCCTTCGATGCCTTCATTCCCAATAGCCCCAAGGGCCTGAAGTTGGGCATTGATTTCATCCGAGAGAAAGGAGGCGGCCATAATTGGGTGTGGGTTGGGTCCTGGTAGACGCAATCTTGTGTAACAGACTGGGTCTGAGGATTGGGTAGCCCAAGGCACACTACGATCAGGCCAGGTAGGATTCTGGGGACGAGGTCTAGGTGGGGGGTACAACCGAAGCGAGTTGTATGAGGTTCAGGGTTCAGGAGTTCAGGGTCAGGGTTCAGGGGTTCAAGAGGACGCCAGATAGTAGAGAGTGTAATTCCTAGGTACAGGTGTCCAACGGAGATTACCAGATTGCGTAAAGAAAGAAAAATATAAAGGGGCACACCCCTTTATATACTAAGGAAATCCTTCATGATTACCAATACAAAAGAAAGTCCTTGGCGTCACGCGCAGCCACGATTCCTCCGTCCGGTTCCGCCATCTTCCGTTGCACGGCAACACGTCCCATTCGCCTATGCAAAGGAAATTCTACTATGCAACCAAGGAAACCACATCCCATATATGCAACCAAAAACCCATGCATATTCCATCTCCATAGCCGGGTGGCCGTGACACTAGTAGAAAGCAATACAGTTTATAGTCCAGCCTTCAGAGAAGGTCATAATTAGCCATTCTAGAATCTCTTTCTCAGGCTCTGTAAATCATACCATCTGCTGGTGTACTGCTTTACCTTTAAATATAACCAAAAGATATATCAATTAATTAGAGAGACTAATATACTCAAGTACAGAAACACATTCATAGTTCTCGACTAATTGGATATATGTTTGATGCTTCCCATAAGCTTCAAGAACTTGAGAGTTATTACAAATATAAATGCAGATCCTATACTCATCTATATTTTATACATTATCTTCCTAAAAATTTCAGTAGTTATGAACAGTTTTAAAGTTCTTAAAAAGAATTATTGATTTGCTCTGACTATGTACTATAAAAACATAAGAACTTAATTGACTTTCCTAATACAGTTGAGATATATTGATTGCAGTTAAGGAAGTTCAGAACCTATTGATTACTAAGCAGTTCTTCATGTCCAGATGCCTTAAGAATAAGAATGGCCATTTTCTGAAGTCAGCTTATTAGATAAGACATAGCCATGAGCTTCCTACTTAGTTATTGAGTTATATAAATTGTCTTCTTAGTTTAGTGAAAGGTACTGCTGGTATCATATTCATGGCCAGAATGTGTATTGATAGTACCCATAGGTCAACTGTTTAGAGTAGAAGAAGGAATCCTAAAAACTTTAGGTGCTTTCAATTCTGAACTATCTTCTACTACCTTTAGGTCTGGTCTTACTCAATTGCAGTCTTGCAGCTATCCATTGTGTAGACAGAATGGCGGGGATTGATGGAGGTGCACTGAGGTAGCCATGTATGCGTTACAGGGTGGCTGATAATTAGAGATGACCGAAAACCCTGTTGGCCAGCTTATATTACTAGTATTTCTGTCCACAAACAATACCGAGCAGGGGTAGTTACCCTCCCTTATAGCATACTCGAGTACCGTACAAGTAACTCTAACACGGAATTTTGGAACACCGATACTTGCATGATACAGGATCATATAATACTGGTACCTGGAAAAATCTGGATCCCAACCCAGGGTCACGAATGAGCGATCAGAGAGATGAAAGGAGGAAGGCAAAAATTAATCAATAACAGTCGGTGACGATCACAATACGAGTACATTTTTGGTTGCCTAGTTATTTGCTTTATTGAATTCGGTAGGCCTGATTTGGACAAAGCTAGGGTATCAAATAATTTACCCCTCTTGCAGGGGCAGTGCCATTGCTCACCAACCTCTGATCCCTACTCCCTACCGCACCATGCATTCATCATCTACCTGTACAGCAATCTCTCATCCGTAACCTAATCGTTCGAGCTCATCCCCCAGCTCCCCTCCCCCCCACCTCCACCACCTCCACCACCTCCACCACCTCCACCACCTCCACCACCTCTACCACCTCTACCACCTCTACCACCTCTACCACCTCTACCACCTCCACCACCTCCACCACCTCTACCACCTCTACCACCTCTACCACCTCCACCACCTCTACCACCTCCACCTCCTTCACAACCCTTCACAATAACCAACAAATAAACCCTCCAAAAACAAAACAATGTCCTTCGTAGCGGCAAACAAACGCCTCCTGAAAGAATACAAAGCCCTGCTAAAGGAATCCCCGGAAGGCATAGCTGCGGGACCCATCGACGAATCCAACCTCTTTGAATGGGAATGCTTAATCCAAGGCCCGGAGGAGACTCCCTTCGAAGGTGGGGTTTTTCCCGCGACGCTCAGTTTTCCAAAGGTATGTATTTACTCGGCACGGGACGGAAAAGAAAAGAAGAAAAAAGGATAAAAAAAGACACAAATAGAAACAGAAACAATCTCTACTTAATCCCAAACAAGAAATGGAAAAAGGAAAAACTCCAACCATAGCTAACAAAAAATATAAACAGGACTACCCCCTTAATCCCCCAAAAATGAAATTCACCTGCGAAATGTTCCACCCGAATGTGTACAAGGACGGCACCGTGTGCATCTCTATCCTCCACTCCCCCGGTGACGACCCGAACCAGTACGAGGATGCCAGCGAGCGTTGGTCACCCATACAGAGTGTGGAGAAGATACTCATCAGCGTTATGAGCATGCTCGCCGAGCCGAACGACGAAAGCGGGGCGAATATCGACGCTTCCAAGATTTGGAGGGATGACCGGAAGGAATATGAGAAGAGGGTTAGGGCTTGTGCTAGGAAGGCTTTGGGGCTTTTTTAAAAATAAAAATTACTTCCGCTTTATAGGGTTGTTAGATTAGGGGGGGGGGGGTGTAGGAGGAAAGTGAAGAAGCCTCGAGCAGGCTGAATGGGGGTGTAATGGGATAGGGAAATTGGGGAGCTTTCTTTTTTTCTTCGCCAGAGGCATTGGTTGCCTATATATTCGATTGGATAATTCAATTAATAACAATTCTTTTGCATCCATCTTCCACGTGTGGGGCCGGAGGGGGAACTTACTGTGCGATTGCCCAGGCCGAATACGGTACACTCTCCTCAGATGCCCTCCCCATCCTCCATATCCACCTCATCGACATCCCCGTCAGCCCCCTCCCTCATCGCACTGATAAACTTCCTTGAGGTAATCAACGGGGCATACATCTCATCAAGCATTGTCCTCGGTCCCAACTCAGAATCCCTCATGGAGACCTTCTGGCACTTGATCCAGCAGATCTCATTGCCAGCCATGTACCAGACCAAGGCCCTATCCCCAGCCCAACACCAGTAGGCCGCTGAAGCCCTTAGTATAGACCAGGGCGTAAAGCTTGCACCGCCCTCCTTGATCCACCTTGCGACAACAGGATCCCAGGCCTGCTCGGCAGGGGGCATGATGCCCCGATAGCGCTGGAGAAAGTTGGGCACCCCAGCCTTGAATTCGTCCGGCCCACTGCGCTTGTTCAGAACCCAGTCTGTCCAGTCCTGCTTCAGAAGCGTCAACTGCTTCGTCAAGTGCCGCAGCGTAATCCACAAAGCACTCGTCTCGTCCTTTTCTGCCAACTCGTGCTCCCGTACAAACAGTTCCACGATGTCACCGTCGCGCCGGCCCTCAGATTTGCCGATGTCATCATGAAACGCCTGCTGCTTCTCGTTGACTTTTGTGTCGGCGACCAGGAGCAGGCGGTCGACTATGTGGGTAGCTCCCACGCGAACTCTCGAACCCTTTTCCTTGTAGGCTGGTATGGGCGCCCCAGCAAACTTTCTCCTTATTTCCTCGATCTTTTTGGGCTTAAGGCTCATGCCCTGCTTCGGCGCGTCGACGAGCAGTGAACACAGTTTTGCCAACTTGAGCGCTTCAGAGTCGGCGATATCGTTCGTCTCATAGCAGCGTCTTTCCCAAATCGAGGTGCACTGCCCGAGGAAACTGTCTCGAAATGAGCTTTGAAGGCCTATCCGTAGGAACCGCCCAAAGAAGCCAGGTTGGCCGGGGTTTAGCCCGGCGACCTTCTCTGGCGATTTCTCAAACCAAGGTGCCACCATGGCATCAACCTCATCGTAACTCATGGGACTGTTGGTGAATGGTTTCACCAGGCGCTCTTCCCAGCACACCCAAGGCTGTTTTGGCCGCCACGTTAATTAAGAACATACCCGTGCGAGAGAACGCAGGATGACACAAACCTTATCGCCATCGTAATCACCTCCCGACAAAAGCGACGCCAGGCTTTGATCTCCCTGGGTGGAGAAGACGATCACATCCTGCAGCTCCCGAAGGGCCAGAGAATGGTAAGATTGAATATCCACCGCTTTCACCTGACTTCATTAACACACACACACTGCGTAAAAACCGAGTGAGAATATCATGACCCATACCTTCTGGATGTCCGAGGGGATGTGCGCAGGGTTGCGCGCTACCAGAATATCACCGGTAATCACCTGGTTCCGCCTCAGCGTCTTAGGATCCAGAAAGCCAGCGGAAAACCTCAGTGAGACTTCTCCCTCCCTCAGGGTTCCAGTGGGATCAGCGACACATAGGAGGGTCGTAGAATGAGGGATTCTGATGTGCAATTTCTCTTTCAAGTCCTCGCAATACTGATCAATCATTCCCCTAACATGGTCCATAAGCACCCTGCAAGAACGGACGAGGAAGCCGCTCTGCAACACGTCAGCCCGAATCAGAAATCTCGGCGTTACATATCTCAAAGTACATACCTCGAGTAGCAAAATGGCCATCTCATGCTTTGTAGAAGGCATGGATCCAGTAGCCTGGATACCCTTATATGATATCCTCCCAGCCCCTACGCCCCCCCGGTCGTAGATCCATTTCCTCAGCTCAACAGGCTTATCGATCACCTTGAACAGCTCGTCCAAGTCCTCTTCCAAATGCTCCTCCGCCAACTCCTTCAGCGCCTGGAAGGGCACACCACGATTCTCCAGGATGGGAATCAACTGAATGTTGATTGTGGTAGGCCTAGGTTCGTGGGAGATGTGCAGTATATCCAGTGTCATCCTGGCCCAATCTTGGTCATCGGCGTCGCCCTTGTACTTTAACTGGGACTCGGTTACTTGGATGGAAATTTCATCCGAGCTCCAGTCAATGCTGGTATCTACCATCCAAACTCCTTTCGCTCCACCTAGACGCGCTTGGACTGCCGTGGGAGTCTCGTCCAGATCAAGGATTTTGCGTATCTCTTGCATAACCTTTGGCGACACGACGGAGCACCCGTCGTTCATTATCTCACCCTTTGCGGACTTCATATCCGGCACTACCTCGACTTGGGAGGGCTCGAATGTGAAGGAGGGCACCGTCGTCGAGAACCCTTTCATACGTTAGCACCATCAAGCATCAGCAGCGGGAACCGCAACACTTACCCAAACTTATCCTCGACCAGAACTTGGAGATGGTGACATGTTCATTTCCCTCCACAGGGATATGCCACCTTAGCAGGTCCTCCACGCTCATCTCCTGTCTGATTTTCCTGTCCAGGCTGCGGAACCCCAGCCTCACCATCTCATCCTTATCATCCCCTATGCCCACGCCTGAAGTTGCGAACATGATCACCTGGATAAATGTTTCACTTACGAAAGTCTTTTCGTCTTCTAGGGATCTCTTTCGCGACTTTCCCTCCTTCGCGTAGAAACACCTCCATTTTCGATTGGCCAGCTCGACCTCCCTATTGACCAGCCAATCTTCAACCCTCTGTGCCACCATACTTCCGGGGGTTGAGCCGTTCTGTCCACGGCCAGTCATATCCGGCAAGCGCAGGGTTAAGAACCTATCCGACCCGAACCGATTGAAGAACCGATTGCCTTTGGATTTACTCAGAGGGTTCAATCGGATATCGAAATCGATATCCTCAAGTTTTCGCGCCCTCGGATCCTTTAAAGACACCCTGCCCGTCATGTACAGTCTGTCCGTCCAGCCCGTTCGTCCCTTGTACCCCCTCCAAGTCGATTCTGCGCTCTTCTCCAACATGGCGACCCCGGGACAGTGCCGCTTCATGATCCCCAATACTTCGGCGTAAGTATTTGCCGCGAACAAATCATCGCAGCAGTTATGCACGCTGTCGGAGATGTCACTGTTTGAGGCAGATACGCCATTGCTCAACGCGACTCGAGTCGCCTCGTATTGGACTTGGAATGGCAGTGTATGTAAAGGGTGCTCGATATCCTTTACTGGTTCGTTTTGCCGCCCGCCGTTCATAGCCTCTTCCGGTTCAGGTAGAACCAGACCTCCACGGATTAGTAAGCATGAGGAAATTCGCCGAGTGACAATGTATGATAAACGCGGAAGGCCGACCACGGGGGGAAAACTTACCCAACAACCCTGCCTCAAAAGCAGCATCCGCCCCGTATTCGGAGCCCCCCTCGTCATCTACACCTTCCCCACCCCCTTTGCCAACTTTATCCTCCGGATGGCCCTGCTCACCCGGACCCGGACAGGGTCGTTGCGAGGCATCGGGAACCACCTGGGGAGATGCCCTCCTCCAGTTACCGCCTCTATCACTCATTCCATCGGGAGATTGCTCTGCCTCCTGCTGTGCCACGAAATCCCAATGAATGTCCCCAATCTCCTCCGCAGCCTGTAGCAATTCCGGCCCCAATGGTTTCTCGCCAGAGAACCCCACCGACCCGACCCTTTCCCGCTCCCCTCGCTCGCTGGGTTCCGAAGCCACGGCAGATTGTGGGATGGGTGAGAGGGGCGTGTGCCGAAAGCGTTCCGCCTGTCGGCGCGAAGCCGACTTCTGCTTCCTGCGCGGTGGTTGCGCCTGGAGCCTTCGTGTAACCTCCTCCTGCGGATAGTGAGGTTGGTATTCCTCAGGTTCATCAATATCCGTCCGATCGTCTTCCGTCGGGTTATCAGTTACCTGGCCCGGTGAGTCATACCGATCGGTATCACTATGGTATGGGCTTGAATCACCCTTGCCGCCGTGGAAGCTATCGTAGTCGGTAATTTCCGACCGGAAAGTTCCGTCTCTCGAGGAAGGGAAGCCCTCTGCAGTCATGGATCTCGTGAAAATGCTCGACCCAAACGAGCTTAGCGACGAGCTGTCGAGTGAGCGCCGGAAAGGTTCACTATAACCGCCGGAAGCATTCGAATAACCACTTCTACGCGTTGGTTTGACAGGTGCACGTATTTCCTTCCTTCGCCCCTGGTCGAGCAATATCGGGCGCTTTTCATGGCCCTTTAAGCTAAAGACTTGAAAACCAGATACCCCGTGGTCATCCTCGAGTTCGGAGGGCACAACTTTGTCCTTCCCCTTGGATCCGGCCACTGACGAACTCGCCGAGTAAAAAGTGCCATCCGAGTCCGGTTCGGCGCCATCGTCCTCGCAAACTACAGGCCAAGTTGGGTTTTGTACCGTACCCAGCTGCCCTTCCGGCGGTCCGCCCCTCCGCCTCCTCGAACGTTCCCGTGCCCCCAAGCACGGGTCTCCCAGACCGTCCCTTAGTAATGGAGGGCCCCTTTCCTGCTCCTCCTGCCGTAGCCACTCCCGTTCCTCCTCTCGTATCTCCTGATGCAGACGATACCTACCCCCTCCCTCTCCTTCTCCTTCTCCATGCCTCTGCCGCTCCCGTCGCAGAGCTTTCTGTTTATTCTCCGTCGCCTCCATCCCATACCTATGCTGAGCCTGCTCAGCCCGTTGCACTTTCTTAGGCTTTTCCAGCCCGCGCTGGCTCTCCCGGCTCCTTGGCCACTCGGGAGGGCTGTGTTCCTCCCCCGGGACCACCTCCGCCGGTGGTCGGCCTTTTCGCTGTCGCTGTCGCTGGTTGGGCCCTTGGTGCGGCGAACTCTGCGCCACCTTCGAGCTCTTTCGCTCTCTGGATGCGGCCATTGATTCCATGGAGATCACCTCCCCACATCTACTCTTCTCTCGCCCCTTGAAGACGATATCCTCCCTGTTCCGGTTAGAAGCGAGATTCAATGTCGCTAAATCCTGGGTGACCCTTTTCGCTTCATACCTGTCATCGGAAGGCCAAACGCTTGGTTCCCCCCCGGGAGAACCGCCGGGGCCAATTCCGAACAGGTCGACGACCGATTCATCCCGGTCCCGAAAGCCCGCCAGCTTGTCATCCAATATGGACTCGTAGGCCCTCTCCAACTCGATTCTGACATCGGGACCTGGCTTCTCGTCCCTGGATATCCCCCGTTCCCTCACAACTTGTCTCAAAAGGAGAAAGGAGTCGTCGGCATCCTTCAACGAAAATTTCAATAAAGCGTCCAGCTTTCGGATCCATGGGCTGATTACCGGGCCACCAGAACGGGTGCCACTTCCCTTCGGCCGGGGTTGCTTCGAATTGGTGTGGAAGCCGTACACTTTGTTCAATATAAGAAGCCTTCTACCGAGTTCTGTGCCGCCGGATTCCTCCTGAGAACTCATCCGAACCGCTGCTAGTGGCCCCCTCGGTGCGCTCGCAGGGGCGAGTTGGGCTCTTGGAGGGGTCATTGAAAAGGCGATGGCGATGATCTTATTTAAAAAAAGATTAAGAGGAATGCCTTTCCCGGTCGGTGAGTAGAGTGCGGGCGGGCCGCTCGTAGCAAAACACGATTTGGGGGTGGGGTATCTAAAGGTATTTTATACAGTTCAAACTGTCGGCCTAAAAACTAGAAAGTGCTCACACCAGTACAGACTCTAGAGGGGGGTGAGGGGGGGGTAAAGAGAAATAAGTGCACAGAAATGCACAGAGGGAACTAAAAGGAGAAATAGGCATTCAGAGACGTTCACTCACATAAACGCTATTGGCGGCAACTTGCTGGAGGGAATAGACAAGGCCTCCAGTAGGTTATTTCAGGCTACCATTGTATTACCAGAAGTCGGTAATAAAAATATTAATAATAATAAATATTAAAATAATAAAAAACCCCTTCGAGCGAAACGGAAGGGTCAAAATTTAATGATAAGTCAGTATCACTGCCAGAAAACAGACATGACAAAAACCAGATGGGGGAGGGAGTATTCTAAATAAATCGGCCAGAATGGGGGGGGAGGGGGTGGGGGTGGGGGTGGGGGAGTTGTGGGTTGCACAGCACAATCAGAGAGCATGAATACCGGTAGCAGCAAGAATTGAGATTTGCGGACAGACGCGTCTCTTTTTCTACCCCACCGATAAAGGATTCCTAGGAGAACGCGTTCTCCCGCCCCCCCCTTCCTCGGATACTCCCTGCTCCAGCACCGGTACAATACAATATCCCCTTCCTCTCTTCCACTTGTTCGGGAGAGGGGGGCATATGTCATAGCAGTCATGCATCCCTCTCCCCTCTCCGAAGGAAGAACGGTTCAATTCGCTTCAACCCGCTCACCCCTTGCCCTTCTGTACTAGTACTTGTACACTTTTGTGCTCCCAAACAAGGATTATCATTGATGCCTCCCCGTCACTCCTCCCCCCACCCAACCCACTCTACAGTACTGTACAAGTATCATAACTTAGCGTACCATACAGCACTGTACAGAATGCTGTAGAATAGACCGACGGTGGTGTAAAGTGCAAGTACCGGTACCGGTAGTATTGTAGATTGCATAGACAGATTGGATGGCAAATTCCAACCAACCTGCAGTCAACCCACACAGTTAAACTAACGGTGGCGGATTCCCCAAAGGGGCTATTTGTTTACACTGCCTTTTCGTCTCGCCTCCTTCTTCCTCGATTGATTGATTGACCGATTGAGTGACCCGCGTGCATTGGTTACGGCAGGGAGGTCAATGGACGCGATTAGTGGTTTCCTCTATGGCGCCATTTGGGAATATATCACTGCGCACACATCCCGTGCGCGCACTGTGCATTCGTGCGTACTCGTACCGGTACGGTACTCGAGTACCGTACTACAGAAGCACCCGCACTTTCCCACTGCAGTACCCGTATTATGCTATGTATATCATTCGTGTGGCGGTTTACGCTTCAAGCCGCAGCGGCAGTGGTGGAGAGTAGGGTGTGATGCCGGAAAAACAAAAATAAAATAAAAAGGTAAGGCGAAGATATAGGGTTCACCATCACCGGCGGAATGATGCCCTGGAGTGGGCCTTAATTCCAACAATCCCCGTACTAGTACGGCGGCGCGGAGGGGTACAGCGGTACCGGTACAGTACTTGGTACGAGTGCTGTGCTCGTGCAAGTACCGTACCAGAAGGAGGGATGGGCCGGGGTAAAAAAAAAAAAAAGAGAAAAAACAAATAGGATCGGAAAAGAAGGAAGGAATGGGTTAACAAAAAGGGGATGAATGGGCAAAAATACTATTTCCAGCGTCAAATCTTCCTATTAGCCTGTGCCTGTGAATATCGAACGTCCTGTCCTGCACTAGTGCTGTATGATACCCTCCCACAAAGTGTCGAAAAGAGTGCGAGTAATTTACAGTACTCGAGTACATCTAACAGTACCACCATCCCCTTCCCCACCGCCCCCCACCGCACTGTGCTCATACCCTTCATTTCCTTAGATGGAAACTTAACTTTGTTCATCACAACCTCTCACTCGAACACATCATTGGAAGCATGTAAACGAGGCGGATCAAGTTAGCTGCACCGCATCACCGATTAGGCAAGGAGCCCGTGCAACCGAGACTCGAGTACAGTACTCAAGTGCAGTACGGTATCTCTCTCCCTCTCGGCCTAGAAATAAACGAGAAAGAAAGAGTAAAATTAAAAAAGAGAAAAAAAGAAAAGAGGGAAAAGGCACGCTTCTCGCTTTTCTACCCCGCTTGTTGGAGAGAGCACTGTGAGCTGCCCCTCCTCAACTCCTCAACCCCCCAACTCATGTGGGGTGATGTTCTTTCCGCTAGTTTGCGATTGTTGAGGTTCGCGGGAGCTTCCCCACCATTGAAGAGGGGAAGGCGATTGTCGGGAGGAACACAGTGCGGAATGATTACTAGTGCTACACCATACAAGTACCGTATCGCAGGACTTGTTCACATTCCGTACCGTCTGCTGTACTGTACCGCTGCAGCGGCGCTCGTATGGCACCGTAAACCACAGCACTGTGCTCTGCCGGCATAGTTCTAGACCGTAAGGCCAACCCACAGAGAAGCCGCAAGTAAGAAACTAACTTTGGAAACCCTCAGGCTTCACCAAGAGAACAGCTTTTCCATCCATTCGTTTCTTTCATACTCGGAGGTGTTGGATCGGTTGGTCTCTGGCTATAACGAGAAAATATGATAGCAGGGGGGATAGATATTGCCTGAGAGCCTTCAAGGCGCTGTGCCCGCACTGTATTCATGAATCGGGTCCTCCATGTGCGACGGCCGGACCAACTGACAGAAAGTCCTTTTTTTCCTTTTTTCCCAGTGTTCCTTCCACAGCCCGTGCCCACTTTCCCGCCTTGTTCATCTCATGTATATGCAGGGCACCCGAAAACCCCCTGCAAGACACGGTAGTACTGTGTACTCGAGTACGGTACTAAGTACTCATTGTGGTCACCCTAGTTCACTTAGCGCTAGTATTCTTACCCCTCCTCATCCCCTCATCTTCATCTCTAGAGGCACACAGATTTAAGGCTTCCCGCGACAACAAGACTACCTCTGGCCTCTCCGGTAGGTGTTCTCCCGAGTCATTGTGCTACAGTACCCGCGTCATAGTCCTGATCTAGCCAATGATACCGGCTTACTCGTACGAGTACCTATCACCTGAGCCCTTCCCCTTCACAAGAAAGGAAAGGAAAGGAAAGGAAAAAGAAAAATTCAGGAGTTCTGATGTGAAGTTCCGGGACCGGGGGAACAAAGACTTGAATAACAATCAGTGTACGGTACTCGTACTAATTGAGCCCCTACCCTACGAGCACGGTACGGTGCTTGTACGAGTACAAGAGCTCTACGGTAGTTCTCCACACCAGACACCTACGGTATACCCGGAGCAGGAGCACGGCAGGTCCCCTGCGCTCCAGCCTTCATCCTGTTTCGGCCAGGTCACCACCAACCGTGGTGATGACTCTTCTCTGTAGAAGAACCCTGACAAGCACAGCACCATATGGTGGGGGACTCCTTAAATCAACCTACTCCGAACCCAACTTTGCATGATGAAGACTCGAGAACAATAACACCTATCAAAAATATAAAGCTATTAAATGATAGATTAGAAGCTGGAGAACAAGGTAATAGAAGCAGATTTAAAAAAATATAAGGTTTTGATTGAGTTATCAAAAGATAGTTATTTGGACAATGTCGCACCCCATTATTTTACTGTTAATATACCAGTTAATCCGCCAAGACCTAAGGTAACTACATATTAACTGGGTGGTAACGATGAATTAACCTATATTAACCTACCCTTAGTAAGCCAAAACAAATGTCGCTGTGGTCCGGTTTAAGGAGTCCCCCACCATACCAGCCCAAAGGTGGCGCCTGAATTCGCGTCGTACGATAACTCGACATGTTCTGCATTATGACAGCGTGTTTGTGGATCAATCCGGAGGTACCCGTACGAGTACAGCTCTTAAGTTTTGTGCGGAGTTGAGAGGGTCTAGCAGTAGAACACGCATGCTAAGCCCCATTTCCAGCGAAAGGATGGGGTGAAATGGAAATCGCACTCTTGGGCCTAATTTACGCACCCATCTCGGTTGTCAAATAATCTTGTCATGGCTGGGCCGCCCGTTGAAAATGTACGATCATATCCTTTTCGCAGATGGTTCACTTTCAAAAAGTGCACCTTTGTGGCTTGGAGGGAAGCAATAGGGGAAAGGGTACAGTACTGTACTTGAATCCATGTCGCCGCGGGGACCGGTCTGATGCCCGTGCCGCACGCACAGTAGGGAGATTCGAAGCTCTCAGTAGGCTGCGAACCGAGTAGACAATATCCTGAATTTGTTAAATCCGCGGTTTATTCGTATCAAGTACAGGAAAATCCATGGCATGCGCCCTGAGGTATGGCCTAAAAACCCTTAACAAAAGAGATCCAACCCTGTCCAACGTCCCTCAACCTATAATCCCTCTTGTATGGAATCAACCGCACATCCTCCCGCAAGATAAGAAAGGCAGACAGAGAAGAAAGACACTAGTAGATACTAATAACAAAGGAAAAATAACACTTCTTTTACCCTATTTTTATGTTCTAGGAAAAAGAGAACAGAGAAGACTTTTTTTTTTTTTTCTGTTTTAAAGACCAAGAAACCTTTCTTTTTTGTTGTCCTGGTCGGCCTAGAGACACTGGCTTAGGGAGTAGTATTTTTATCTCAGAGGATAAGCATTTCAGTATACTTATGAAGCTCTAAGTTTAGTGGCCAAGCAGGAAGATTATGAGATTGGGTTGTGGGTATTGAATCCTGCTTCTCACCTTCCTAATTAGGACAGTAAAAAAGGAGTCAGGAAAATCATGAAGACAGAATATTACACAATATTCTGAAAATATAGATATATGTTAGGTGGCAGCCAATTGTAAGTCAAGTGAATTGTGACTGGAGCCAATAAGGTTTCTCAGAGAGTGGTCAAGAAAGCTTGTAACAAAAGTAGGTATCAAAGTATAAT